CGCGTACAACGGGAGACGACTTACGCCTTCTCAATCCCACGTCGAAGGGGCAGTGGAACATCAGCAGGCAAAGTTGAGGAGATGGGGCCTACCAATACTGCTGAACGCTCCGACGTTAGCAGTTGGAGAGGTACTGCACGTCCGGCCCGAGCTGACTTTGAGGCATCCGCCAGAAGTGTTAGCAGGTTACACCTGGCAACTCACGCAAGACGGGGGAGCGAGAGGAACGTGCACCACGGGTCAAGGAACTCAAGGAAGCAGCATTCAGCTAGAGCAAATGCCCAATGGGATAGCATGGAGATTAGCGTCTGGAGACCGGGGGGAGATTCAGCAGCCAAACGCAAGGAAAGCACTACCCCAGCTCAGCGCCTCCGGAGGATTGGTGTTTTACGCGCACCCATGGGTCCACAGCTTCCCCTGGAGTGTGAAGAAGAGTGTGGCAAACAAACACGTTCTGGTGGCGTTGAAAAAGCAGCCGTTCCGGCAGTACAGAGGAGATGACGGACAACTCCACAGGCAAGTGCAACGCCTTCAGGACATTGTGGCAACCAGCGTCTGGCAAAATGCAGCAATGCAACAAACACCGACGCAAGTATGGGCACACAAACACCAGCTCACAGAATACCAGGTCTGGGTGGTCTATCGCGTGGCAGTTAGGCAACTCAACTTATACCACGAAGGATGTCGGCAAGATAATAGCTGCCGAAAGACACTGGAGTGCCGTGAACACAAAGAGACGGTGGAACATCTCTTCTGGGAGTGTTCATGCGCGCAAGCCTGCTGGAGCAAATTAATTCAGCACTGGACGGGCGAATGCTGGTCACCTGGGCCAGGTAGAGCGCTTCCAACAGCAGTGCGCCAGCCCGCAAGGCACCGCTGCTATCTCATGCGTGCAGCAGCAATTGGAGCAGCAAGTTTCCGGATGAGATTAAACAGTTTACCGCGGACTGGAAGCGAATTTGGAGCATTCTTTTGCAGTATCTGCCTTCACTAGCCATATGGGACTCAGAAGGAACCAGAAATAGTCTTTCCACCCA